AACAAGGTCAGGTTGTCCAGGGAGGATGGGAGTCTCCATACTTGGAGGTGTATAAAACCTGACTAGATGAGATTCTGAGCAGTCTGTTATAGGTGCCTGTACTAGGAGGTGATTCCCCCTAGGTGAAGAACTTTGCCTTTCTCTGTTGAAGTTTGTGAGGTTCCTGCTGGCCTGTTTCTGCAGCCTGTTGAGATCCCTCTGACTGGCAGCACACTCATCTGCTGTATCCACCACTCCTCCCAATGTCGTGTCGGCTGTAAACACGCAGAGAGTGTGCTCTGTCCCATTGTCCAGGTCCCTGCTGAAGATGTTGGACAACCTCAACCCCTGTGCTCTGCCCCTGTCACTGACCTCCAGCTGGACCTTACCACTTGTCACAACACTGGCCTGGGCTGTTCAACCAGTTTTCCCTCCCCATCCCTGTGTGTCCAGGCTTACTTCATCAGTTTGTGAGGGTATTATGGGAGATGCCATGGAAAGCCTTCCTGAAGTGAAGACGAGCAGCATCCCCTGCTTTCCCTTCATCCACCATGCCAATCTTCTCGTCGAGGAAGGCGCTCAGGCTGGTCAGGGGTGATTTCCCTTTTATAAATCCACACTGCCTGCTCCGTCACCTGCCTGGGGGTGAGGCTGTCCAGCAAGTAGTTCTCTGGATCCTTGTCCTTGAAGATGAGAATGATGCCTTTTGCATCCTGAAAACTTGTAAAGGATGACAGAAACTTCAAGTGGCACTGAAACAGTAGGCTCCTGCATTCATATGTGTCACATAAAAATCTATGTACATGCACACATACATCAAACCATGCAAGGTATATGTGAATCTGAAGGATGCTGCATGGCTTCAGGGCAGAGGTTGGAGTGGATCCTGTTCTGCTTGTTGAGGATTTCAAGATAGGAAACTTGCTCTTCTGAACTGAAGTGGGTTGTTCCCCTTTACACAAGGCTCATGGACCCAGAGGCCTCCTGCAGGTCTTTCTGGCTGTTAGCAAATCCTTAACAGTGGCTGAAAGCAAAGCTGTACTTTTGGGGTGGTTGTTTGGGTTTTTTCCCTGTGAGGGCAGAACTGCTGCTGTTACACCACGCTAGAGTCTGTTTGCTTGAACTTGTACTATCCTTAATTCACGGTAAAGTCAAGAAGTGAATGCTACCTTTCCCTCAGCAGCCCTACACTATCTGGTAGCGCTGTAAAGAAAGCAGTCTCAGCTATTTTTCCTTTTCCGCAAGTGCTCTTGTGCTTTGAGTCAACGTTATTTTTCCAGTCACAAGCGTAATTATACCATGAGCCTCTTCTCACTGACCATCCTGATCTCTTCAGTTTTGGAGGTGCGGCTCTCTAATGCCTTGATTATCCCTGGTTTATATGCTCTTTTTTCTTCCTTCGTTTCCTTCTGACTCGAGGCCTTTCCCCAGAACTTTCCTTCCCAGCTTGAGGCTGGAGTAAAGCAGGTGAGTCAGCAAAGAGAAGCTTCACCTGCCCTGTGCATGGGCCATTCCCTGTGGGAATTCCCCGGTGGATTACCGCTGCAAAGCCAAGACTAGCACTACTGATCTATAAACACATAAACTATTTCCCAACTGAGACCCCCCCTTGAAATGCCTCTGTCACATCAAAAAATATCCAGGGAGGCAGGGAGTGGTTATTTAACCTTAACAATAGTGTTACTACTAGGTTAGAGAGAAGCCGGCCATGAGTAAGTGCAGGTTGTAGCTTGGAAGGAGAGGGGTTTTTTGTCAGCAGGAGCATTAGCTTGCGTAAAAGCCTTCCGATAACAATGTGTTTTAATGGTTGGGCAGAAAGAACAGTTTTAAGATGGCATTTGCAGAATTTACTGTTTGCTAAGTAATATGTTTCATCCCTCAGAATAGCTTATCTTCAGGGCTTTCCAGGACATTAAATCCAGCTCTCTGTTCCTGTGAGGGCAGAGCCGTTTCTGGAATAATCTTTCATCTTAAGTCACGGTGATACTTTTTCCCTTCTTGTCTTTATCAGCTCTGATTCTGCTTTCCTCTTTCCATCTCAGAGCAGCTCAGTATTCAAGTCACTTGATTTTGGTGAGAGCAGTCGATGTTGTAATGATGAGTCATTATTGGAAGGCACAGTGTACTGATACGAGTGTGCTAGGTCAAACCTTTGTTAAAAGGGGACCCTGGGATTGCCGGGACCCTTGCATGAGGATAATAGGGTCTGCACTGCTTGCTTCCTTGTCTCGGTTGGGGCTGGATGTTTTTGCAAGGGACTTCGTACCCTGGCAGAGGCTGCCACATAACGAGGATGGGAACGCTGCACCTTGACTTCTGCGCAGCCCACGGACCATACGTGCAGCAGCGTCCGCGCTGCCCTGGTGAGTTGCTCACCGTTGCTGCTTTGCTTTTGCCGGGTTGTTGCGGTTAACGTGAGCAGTTTAGCTTCAGTTACGGTTCTGCTATGCCCGCTTTGGATCATAAAGGTTCCTCTTGCTGCTAGCGGTGACTGTAATCTGCATTTGCAACGCTTGTTTCTTTCGTATTTCTTATGAGAGAATTATTAAGGAAGACTTAGTCTTTATTTTAAAACTTTCTAAGATACTTCTTAGTGATGCTTGTCTTTCTCTTATTTTTTCCTTGTGCTGTGCATGTGATATTGTCCGTCTTATTCGTAGTAGTGTCTGCCAGAAATAAACAGTTTGAATTTGTTTTATTTCCCACCTGTGATTGCTGCAATGCATATGCAAAGACTTTGTTAATTTGCTCTAATAATTGTGTATTACATGTTATGAATGGTACAGTTTTGCAAGTTTGTCAGACAAACAAAACTTACCAAATAGAGATCAGTCATTGCTGGCTGATTTTAATATTCAGCTTTAGCTTGGTATATGCTAGTAATACTGTACACTGGAATTTATTAAGATAGTCTTTGCAATGAAGTCCTATGGCATTGTGCAACATTTTGCAAAAATGTTTTTAGTGCTTACCCACTTGACGTGCGTTTCAGTTGACTTAATTGTGCAGGTATGATTTCTCTTGGCTTTTTTGTACAGTACTGCCTTTTAAAGCTAACGCTGCCTAAAAAACTCTTTCTTGCAAGTCGGCAGTGATACTGCACACAAACTAAAAACTTATTTGGAAGTTAGTAAGTATGGGAAAAATAGGCTGTAGGGTCTCCATCTGAAGACAGCATGTATATTTTATACTTTCTTTAGTCTGTACAATGTTAGGAGAGCAAAACTTCTTGTCTATTGTATCTTCTATCCACCCTTCAGGCAAATATTCAAGATTTGTTTTTACCTCTATATACCGCTTTCTGCTTGATGCAGGCAAATATATTTTGAGTTTTCATTTGTACATTGTAGACTCTTGTAAAATGTAGGCGGATATGTAAGTGAATTTTGGTCATTGATTCCTAAGAAGGTGTATTTCTTCTCACTTTGAAGAACTGCTAATATAAAAGAACTTTATAATTACACAGTATTTTTTAAATGTTAGTTTTTGCTTTGCTGCATAGCTGGGTCGGGTGTTTTGGGTGGAAGTGGCTTGTGCAAGTGACTGCTTGGCCTTGTGAGATGAAGTCAAGGAGAAGGAAAGTGTTTTAGAGAATCTTGGAATAATAGTACAAGTTTTTAGTTGAGTTTAATTTAGCAGTTTCTAACATAATATCTTATTTTAATTTTGCATATAATTCTGGGTGTGCAGATTTTGCAGTTCTAGTAGGAGTACAATCTAGATACAGGACTACGCATACACACAAGAGAATGTGCAAACGGAAGTTTTCCAAATTATTTCTTGGCTAAATGCAGGCAATTTTTCATGAAGGCAGCATTGTATGTTATGTAATATAACAATATCCATGATACCAAACAACGTCTCGGTTTCCAGAAGGTGACAGGGAAAAGGGATACTGTAGCTCTCTGAAGTAAAAAGTCAGTCTTCCTAACTTTGACAAAACCCACTTCATTAGGTCTGTTCCTGAAAATAGTTGAAACATTTGCTTGAATTTTCAAATCAAATGACGTTTGCCTGTCTGACATGCAAATTTCATCCCAGGAGGTTAAAGATTGGCAAAGTTCTGAGCAAGGGAAAGCAGAATTTTATGAAAGAAGACATTTGTTCTGATTATAAATGTAAGATGACCAAATATGGTAGGGCAAAGGATGCCTCTGTTATGTAAAGATTGTTGTGGAAGTCTCTTTTTTTTTTTCCCCCCCTGTATTTCAAAAATATTTGTTTTGTAGTCTGTGATCATGTTAATCTCTATGATAAATGTACTTGGGAAGAAGGTCTGGCTTACAAAATAGTTTTGTTTGTTTTTGTTTTGTTTTTCTTGTGGCTGGGTTAGAGATTAAGATTGAATTGCTTTTTCCTCTTCTTCTATGAGGAATTCTCATTGTGATTTGTGATTACCTTTTAAAAGTGTGTATCTTAATTTAAGTAAAACAGGGAATTTGTGTATTGCATGGCACGCAGTTTCAAATAGGAAGAATAATTTCTCTTAAACTGTGCTTCCACTGTCAGTGTAATCTGGCATATACCTTGGTTGTGGAAAAGGGGATTTAGTATATGGAGTTAGATTTGAGCTGGATCTGTTAAAAGCTAATCTGTCGCTACTGTTAGTTTTCAGTTTTATATCGACATAAAGGAAGAACTGGAAAGGAGCAGATAGAGATGGAGAGAAAGTAGCATTGCCACATCTGGCAGTAGCACCAGTTTGTGCTGTACTAAGCTGATTGTGGAATTGTAATGCTATTTTCAGAAAGAATTGTTTTGCTTTATTTTGTACCTTCATCGACTCAATTATTGCATCACAAAATGGGCAGTTCTTCCAATTAATCTTGCTGAAATAGTGCAGCAGTATTGATACATGAAGGAGAAAATGAATACTATTTACCCTAAATTGCTTCAGTGTGTTTGTGGTGCTTTATTTGTAAATATATTATTTGCAGTGTCTTGCTTTGTATCAAATGAATTATTGAATTGAGTTTGTACAGATTCAACATAGAAAAAATAATTTCCTGTGTTTTCTTTTTTAGCCCTCTGTTGAGTCTTCAAGCCCAGGTAAATGTTTTTAATATTTCCTAAACTTGTGAGGGAAGAGGGCACCCCTGAAAAATTATTTTTGCTGGTCTCTTCCAGTTAGTAATCTAAGAATATAATTTGATGAATAGGTTAGTGGCAGTACTGGTTTAAGTAGTCACTGCTTTCTTCCAGTCTGTACCAGCACAAGTTTCTAAATGGTAAAATACACTGGGTAAATAAGAATCTTGTCTTTGCAAAAGCTGCATGAACATGTGTTCAGGAATGCTGACATCCTAAGGAGCACAATGTGAGCGAGTGCTGGGGGCATGGAAGAGACTACTTGACCCAGCAATACGGTTGCCATCCCTCTAGGCACGGCTACTCGTTGGTGTTAAGAGTTAAATACAGAGCCAAAAGTTAAGGCACTGTGTGCTCTCAATTAATAGATATACCGTTGCCGTATGGTTTTGTGCATAATAGCATCAAGGACAAAAGCAGCAAGAAAAGCAGTGGTTTTGTACCTATTGGATTACTGAAAATGAAGGGTTTCATTACTTCCGTTTTTAAAGCTGGTTATTTTCTGATATTCCAGTATCCCAGAGCTACTGGCTATCTAGTAGACAACCTAAGCGTAAATGATGAATATCTGGAGGGTTTTTTTGTTCCCTTTGGTACCACTGTACTTAGTGTTATTTATTTCCAAGGTTTTTGGCATCCTACTAGTGGAAAAGCTTTCCAGTAGTTACTTCAACTGGACTGCCATTTTCTCTTGAGCTCTTACTTCTTTCAGAGAAACAATCCATTGCCTGAACACTTCAAACTACAAAGTGTAGTTAACCCTTATAGTCAACCCCTCCCTCTTGCACCCTTAGCGTGGGTATGCTCTTCAAGCTTTGGAAAATGAAATTTAAATTGTCCATGGAGACAAGTGGAAAAATGTTAACAGGGTTAGAATTAGAAATCAGGTATTGCTGAATTACATAAAAATGCTGCATCTGCCAAACCATTCATCCATTCATTTATTTTTCATTGTCACAAAATATAACCAGACTTCTCTAAAAAGAAATATGGAAAAAAAGGCATGGGGAAAAGTAACTAAGGATTCTGCATCATAAAATCTGCATAACTGTGAAGCTTGCTTTGAAGTTTAAATTTTGGAAAGTCATTAGACTATAGTTGTAAACAAGAAAGCTTCCAAAGTATAAAGGAAACAACTGCTCTGCGTTTATATTTTATGAGTATTTCTGCTCCCAGTAGAACTCTTGATTCAGGGAGGTTTCTGATTATTTAAGAATTAAGTCTTCAAAAACTAAACATTTTACAAACATTTAACTAGGGACCCGATGTCCAGATATGTAGTACTTTGAGAACTGGCTGGTTAAACAGTATCTCCTGCTTCTTTGTTCCAAGATCTCTTATTGCCCAAGGGACAGCTTTCACTATCTTCTGAATAATGAGATTGGCTTTCCCTAAGATAAATGATTGAGGGATTTTGAAGATATTTTAATTTCTGAGTATAAGTTGAGTATTAAAATGTCACCAAAATAAAAAATTAAACTCTGTGAGGCCATGATCTAACTAAAAACATTCTTTAAAATGTTTTCTATCAGGAGGTTCAGCAACATCTGATGACCATGAATTTGATCCATCAGCTGATATGCTGGTGCATGACTTTGATGATGAACGGACATTAGAAGAGGAGGAAATGATGGAAGGAGAAACAAACTTCAGTTCTGAAATAGAGGATCTTAACAGGGTAGGTAGCCTTAAGTAGTCATAAAACATAACCACAGCCCACAGTCTCACACAAAACATATGCAGGTTTTTTCCCTTATATTTGGAATTTAAAAAAAAAACCACCCCAAAACCCCTAATAGGTAAATAATATAGATGGGGGAAAGCAGCTGAGCTAAATTTGCAGTTCTCAAAAGTTGGGAAGAGGAAACTGGTACATAAATACTTAATAATGTATAATGCTGTGCTTGTTTAGTTTCTTTTTGCATATATATGCTGGTATAGGATTTGCATTTTAGAGCTAATACAAGTTAAACTGACTTAACTTGTATATTCCAGTGTTGTTATTTTCTAAAGCACTTGCACTTGATTAGTGCATATAGATATTGATTTTTTAAAAAAAATCTCATAATTTTACATTTATTGCATTTTTATACAAACATTTGTGTAATACTTTAGTGGAGCATATAGGAGTGTCTTCATTTTTAAGGTAGAGGAATCAGATGCAGATGAAATGATTGGCTCAAAGCAAAGAGTTGTTAGCAGAGCTGGGATCAGAACTCATAATTATTGTTAATAGTGATAAATAAATCTTAAAATGTGTATCTTCTTAAATAATTGCATATAAGATTTATTTGGCATTTTGAGGTTATGCTGTCACTTATGTATTGTCTTAAATTACTTCTCAGGCAGGAATAATATTCTTAAATGACAAACTAGGTTCATTATAAATGCAAAGTAATCTAGATACTGTCTGTGGCCTCATTGGCCAAAAGGCTTCCAGAACAGATCATTAATGATTCTCAGATGCATATTCGATGTACAAATCCTACTTAGCATAAGTGATTATGCCAATATGACTTTAAACTAATTTAGTGCATTTAATCTACATTTTGGGTGTAAACAATAATTTCTTTCTGGTAATTTCAGGTTTGCTATTAAATGGTAAACATAAAAATAAAGAAATAGTTGGTGAATCTAAACATGCTTCATCCAGATCAAATGAGAAATGGAGCTCCACATGTATGTCATGTGGTTTTTAAGTTGAAAGTATGGGTTTTTTCCCCTCATATTTTGTTAAGAGTCAACATCTGGTTGTGTAATTCTATCACCACATTACAATGCTTTGTTTGTAACTGTATTTCAGCCATCAGTTTATTCCGTCATATCTTGGTTGTCAGACTGCAAGTTTATAATTTCTCCATGTGTCAGCTCTTGTGATCAGGACGGTGAGCAATGGTATAACTCAGATTCACATTGCTCCGTGTGCTGCTCCTTTCTGCAGGATGCTTTTACAGATTGGCAGAGAATCTTGTGGTCAGTTTGTACGTATATCGCAGGTAGGGCTTTTACTGAGTTTCAGATGCTTCCATGCCAGCAAGATCTTGCTGGTGACCTGTGGTTACTTGTAGTTGTGGGATAGCAGGCTGCTTACTTTTATCTCTTCTCTTTTTTTTTCAGTCATGGATGATAGGCCATCTAAATCTTAAAACTGTTGTCAAGACAAGCACTGTCCTGTCTTTTTCTTTCCCCCAACATTTACACATATTATTTCAGATTTCCTCCAGGCCATGAATGTGCCTGATTGACTAGTTCAACTCCTTCAGAGACAAGGTGGCAGTCAGGTTTTGTGAAAGCATTTTTGAACCTTAATGGTTTCACTCCTGGTTGTCTTTAAATTTACACCTTCCTCTGAGGGTAAGGATTTTTTCTACTTATTGGTTGAAACACTGTTGAATCTGTAATGCATTAGTACTTGAGGTGGAGCAGCATCCTGCATTTGTCTGTGCAAGTACGTGTATACATTTTTGTCTAAATGGCAGTAGCATATCTGCCTCTAGAGACCTGAAGTTGCCCTCTGTGCTGCCTAGGATAGGAAAATATACGATTCCCTGAGAGCAGAGTAGTACCTGAAGGGAATCAGAAGTATTGGATCTGGTGGTTCTCAGTGATATTTCTTGAAAGGTAAAGAGTTTTTTGTGGGCAGGAAAGCTATCTGCGGGGTGTTACAGAGACTATCCTTGATCATATCCAGACATGTATTCAGTAATACTGTTTTCATATGTAGGAGCAGCTATACCAGATGTGACCAAAGTCCTGGCTAACCAGTATTCCTTCTTCAGTATCCTGAGAGACAGTGCTCAGGAAGGTGTGCCCGGGATGAGGCACATCTCTCGACGTCCTGGGCATACACTGACACTGCAGTTTTCTAAAACGCCGGAAACTTGGCAGCATGATTTTGGTAGCAAGAAACTGCATTCACACTCTGTCTTGGAAATCATAAATGGCCAGGCCCCAGCAAGTTGCCGAAACTCAACTTCCTCCTACTCTTAGCTAAGCTGACAGTACAAAGCATCAGCTGAAGGGAGTGTGACATGGAGGATTTGAGGAGTGGAGGCTGAGTTCTTTACCTTTGTGCTGCCCTGTCTGCAGGCAGAGCACTGCTGGGTGGGTGGTGTGTGCTGGCTTCCTGGGTGCCTCTAGGAAGTGGTGAGCATTGCCAGGGTGCTGTGGGTGGTGCCTCCCTGCATTACTTGGAGATTTTTAAGCCTTTGACTCCCTCCCTTTTTCCATTTGTTGTTCTGTATAATCACTCGGTTTCTCCTTTTGGAGTCTCCCTTTTCAGGGAGGGCTCTTGGGTTTTCTTGGGGTTAAGCACCAGCATCCTCTTGTCTTTAAATGAGAGGACCATACATGGAAGCATACAGTGTTTCTCCCAAGTACTCTTCCAGCCTCCAGAAGCCTGCAGGTCAGGCACGTATGAAAAAGATGTTGTCTCTTTGTAATGCCTGTCAGTCTTATTTTTCCTCCTGCTGTGAGTTTGTCCATTTGATTTTTAACCTCTGTAAATGTCACGTCCACGAGGCATGTGGCAATGTTGCACAGTTCATTGAGTGTGAGAAACGTGTTTGGTTTTTCAGACCTGTTCTGTGTTCGTTTCAGTGGCTGCCCCTGAGCTCTTCATCTAGAAGAGTGTACAGTCATTTGTATTTACCTTCTCTCTGCTGCTTATGATGCAGTTCTCTGTTATATCGCTCACTCTCACTTACCTCTACTCCAGACACATGAGTTATAATCCATTTCTTGTTGTTAAGCATCTTCCACATAAGAAATTTGTATGTCTTTGATAATCCTTGTTACTTTTTTAATGTTTTCTATTTTTGCAATATCCTGAAGCAATACAGAAATCACAATTTGTATGTTCTCTTGGAGAGTTGCTGACCCTTGGAGCTTTTTGAATTGTAAGGGACTATTTGAAGTTAAGAGGCTCTACCTAAGAAAAATGTTGTAAATACAATACCACTTTCCTAGGTAACATATAGTAGGTAATACGCCTGTTACATAGTTCACACATACCTACGAATTGCAGTAAAAGTTCATTTTAATTCGCAGTCTGGATCAACAAACGGGATAGTGATGAGGAGGGCTTAATGAAAGTATATTACTTTCCAAAATGTACTGGAGAACATTTGTTTGGATACTTACGAATAGGATTTTTGTGATAGCTATACTGTCAGGTTTTAATTAAGATCACAGTCCTGTCATATTGTCTGTGTCAGAAAATATTAATTCCCCAATTCTAAGAGTTCTTTCCATAAAATGATATGATAGGGACCAAGAAGTCAGGAGGGAAGGTGAAGGCATTTAGGTCCATACGGTCTGCATCTACTGTGTGTATAGCGTAATGAAAGAGTAGACCAAGAAGTGGTAGAATGGCTTAGTTCTTTGAAGTAAAATAAAATATAATCCACAGACAATGAGTACCCTGGTGTTATTCTTGCACAGCAGATCTAACAACACTTGCCTTTTTTAATTGATATTGTTAATACATTTCCAGAAAGAAGAGATGTGTTGATCAGTGAAGGCGCTTAGGATAGGAGTTCAGTCAAGCAAGTCTAAGGTCAGCCAACCTGATTATCAGCGAAGATGTACATTATATACTAAGAACAAATATTTAGAGCAGGCAGACACCTCTAAATAATAAACAAAGGATTTGATCTTGTGAGAGAGAGAATTTTTAAATGCTTTCTGAAAGTTTCTGCTCTGAAAAATCTCATTAAGGTTGCCATGTACTGCCCCTGAAGGCTGGATACAGAGGTATTAAAAGTAATAAAGTAATTTGCAGACTCAACAATTAATAATTTTTATTAATAAAGCAAATGCAATTGATAACAGTTTGGGAGCCACTAAATTTGAGAGCTGACTATATAATTTGAAATGTCTCTTCAGAGCAGACCAGCATTCTAAATATAAAGATTTTTAAATGTGTAGATATTTTAGCAGATTTGCTTCCAGCTGTGGATGACTTTGTAGACAACTAGCTTAAAATATATATGAATTTGTAAACATTACTACTGTCTTTACCTGGATATCAGCTGATCCTGGATATAAAGTGATCCCTCACCCTCATCCAACCCCTTGTTTTTTGTTTTGCTCAGAAAGGGGAGAGGTACAGAGAGACGGAGAGGTACATTTTCAGTGTAATTTCGTATTCAAAGCCAGGGTTGTGGAACTGTGTGGAATTGTCCCTGTAGCGCAACTCCCCAAACGAAGATTTAATTCCATGTCCAAGCCAAGTACTGCAAGTTCTGGTCCTTACTCTGCTGAATTCTTGGAGACACTGCAGAAATGACCGCCTTGCACGAGGACAAGTTCCTGCCTGCAAAAACTCTCAATATCTTAGCTGTCTATGTGAAACAGTTGCTGCTGAGACACATTTTATTTGTTTTTTCCACAGTTATTTTTCCAGGTAGTTTTTAGTTTATTAGGGAATACCAATATATATTCCAACAAGGAGTGTGTTTGCTCTGTGTACTGAAGGGGTATGATGTAACCAGATGTAACCTGCCACGTTGCAGTGCTTGTGTGTTGGTAAAATAGTAGCGGACAAGTACCAAGGGAGGGATGGGGTATACTGGTCTTTGGTGCCCTTTTCATGAACTTTATGGCCCCTTTGAGAGGTTGTAGGTACGTGAGGTCTGCTGTAAATTTATAAAGGATTGGGAAATAAATAATTTCCCTGCATAAAAACCCACACATTTTTCTTAGGAGCCAAAACTTTGAATTTTGACTTTCCATTGAGTTTGGAGTGGCCGTTCTTAGTATACGTGATTATCATCTATCTGGTTTTGCTGTGTTATGTTTAAAGTGCACACCTTTAAGCTGTAGAGCAGATGTGGAATGTGAATATTTTCGTTAAAATCTCAAACTTTGTTTGGATGTTTATCAGGAAAGTGATATGCCAATCCAGGAGCTACTTAGCCGTTATGGCTATGATGGTACCATTCCCCTCCAAGAAGATGATGATGATGAAGATGATGAAGAGGAAGAGGAGGAGGGAGAAGATGATGATGATGTTGATAATGATGACAACAGTGGCTGTAGTGGTGAAAACAAAGTAAGTGTTTACACTAATTTGAAACTGATTTTTGTACAGGCATTCTGTAGTGGACAACCACTCAAGATGCCAGATCGTGGCAGAAGTAATTCATAATGTAGTTAATTTCAGATGCTTTGTGTACGGAACTCTAACGTTTATTCTTAATTACCCGTCTGTATTTCTCTTCATTGCTCTTAATTTCATCTGTATTATTCCAAGCTGTTGCAGAGGCAAATTAGAGTACATCTATACATACAGCATCATGTAAGAAGGGATTGTAGTTGTCCTTCAGAAATAGTCTGACTTCAAAGCTGAAGTTTTAAATGCCTGAAGACACCTTTATAGATATCGTGAATACTTGTTTCAAGATGAAAAGCTGATCTACTGAAACTGAACAGTGAAGTGTGGAATTGAATTAAATGTGTCTCTGAGCATTGGAGATTGCTGCAAGTTTTCTAGCTTTAGCATTTTAAATTGTATTTTTTCAGCCTGGCAGCCCTGGTTGTACTTAAATTGTTAACTGAATCCCTTGACAGATGCTGTAAAAGATTGCTATTTGTATGGGTTGAATAGTTCAAAAAGAAGATAGGTACCTAGTTATATTACATCAGAAAAGGTTCAAGAAGCTGGAGATGGGGGAGAAACTTACATAACATGAAGTATACAAAATTAAAATAAGACATGAAAGTGTTTTATTTTGTTGTGCATGGTGGTGTTCCTGAAGTCTCACTTTCTTCTTGTGCCCTTGCTTCTTAATTACTTCCTGACACAGCTTCCATCTCCTCTGTTCTCATGACCTCCTCCGTAGTTCTGCCGTTCTGTTACTAGCTGATTTAAGATACTGCCTGTCTTTTCTCTTACATGGACAAAAACTCAGTGTCAGTCGCTGCCATTAGCAGCCAGAGGAGTCATCTTTGTCCCTCTGGAGGGCACTGACCCTTTGTAGCGTGCTGCAGAAGCAAGTGTGTTCCTGCCCGTCAGCAGCCATGGCTCACAGGCTGGCACAGTAACCATAGCTGGGGGTTTAGCCTAATTGCAGGCTTGGCGCTGTGATTGAATTGGAAGTACGTGTTCAGCTGTTCTACCCCAGTTTTGGTAGGGTTGGAACAAAGGTGGTGGGGAGGACTGGGCACAAAGAGAGCTAGCTAACCTGGTACCATCGTTTGCCTCGGGGTACAAGAATGAGAGCTCTGAAATGCTTGCATGCTCTTGGCAGAGAGGCAGTGAAATACGTCTGTGGGGGTGGAATAATTTTATAAATCATTCAAGCTTTCTCTGCAAGTGCTCATCTTTCTACAGCTAATTTGACTATACTGCACTTAGCTATTTTCTATTTTTAATCTGCTTTAAGCTGCACATGTGATAACACTCTGGTTTCTGGTAAAGGTACGCATGAACATGTGCTGTGTGTAACGCTTCTGTGTTAGAACTAGCAAGTATGAGTGATTACAACATGGTCATAAAACATATAAAAGATGCTGACAACATACATTGAAATAAAAATCACTAATACATTCTTCTAACCTTTATAATTTTAGTTTTCCTTAATTGTAATAATTCCCATAGTTGTTGTGGTTTATCTTCTAATAAAGAAACTTGTTCTAATTTTTGATCTTTTAATGACTCGATGTACATACTAGAGTCTACTGATACACTGTTCCTGTGGGGTTGAACGACACTATTGGCATTAATTTTTATAGAAGGTACCATTTCTATTTGGTTGAGAAAAGTATAGCCAGTAAGTAATTCCTCCCCTTTTTGTTGAAAATTCATAAGGAAGGATTTTAAAGACCAAAGTAAAATTTAAAGTTAAACAAAATTAGATGAAACCCGCAAGGATTAGCTTGACTGATTTAAAAAACTAGGCATGATATTTTAATTGTGGCTCGCATTTTTGATTTCTATGTTAGAGTCTGAGTGTTAAGTTGATCTGCTTAAAATCCTGGTCAATAAATAATATGATGTGTTTACACATTTGTTGTGACTCAGTCTGGACAGGCCACAATCTATACAGTCACTTCAAGTCAGATAAAAGATATTTGGGGTTGATATATTGACAATTTTGGAAAAAAATGTTGTCAAAATAGTGTTTGTCACATACAAGGGATTAGCTGATTTGCTGTTTGCTTTTTTATATTTAAGGAGGAGACCATAAAAGATTCATCAGGTCAGGAAGATGAGACACAGTCATCTAATGACGACCCAGCACCGTCTGTGGCTTCTCAAGATCCGCAGGAGATAATTCGCCCTCGTCGATGTAAATATTTTGATACAAGTATGTACAGTTTAGTAGTAAGCACAATAATCTCAATGTGATTGACCTTTAGTTAAGAACAGCTCTTGCTAACATAGTATTCTGTTTCTGAAATATGCGTGTTGATATCTGTGAACATTTGTTCCTTCTCTTTCATAACACTGCTCTTGATTATCATCATGCTCAAAATAATAGGCAAAAGTCCTGGTTTTAGTTGAATGGTAAATCTTCTCTGCAGATAAGGGACTCTGTATAAGGACAGTAGATATTCTCTCTTCTTAAAAGGAAGGATTAAATTTGTGGAAAAGTTCTAATTTCTACATTTCTGAAAAAGCAGGCTCTCAGACAGTGTAAATCCTTTCATGACACTACTCCAAGTGTTGTAACAGTCCAGCTTATGATCCTGCAAACTGGTTTGTATAGATGTGCCCTTCAGAAAAACTTCCTTGTACGTGGCGCCCAGGTGCAGTAAATGACTCTTTAGTATGATATTACCTTACCATCCTAGTTTCAGCTGCCAATTCACGCTAAGGGTATAGGTACAAATATATGCAAGTAGGAGATGCACTGTTCCAACTAGATAATTGCTGCACGGTGTGTAATTATCGTGACAAGGCCTGGTGACACCGGGTTATATACTCACTTGAAGAAGGTTTGAGTCCAACTGAAGGAAAAAGTAAAAACTGAATTTTACTAGAAATAGAACCCCAGATTTCTAATACAGAAAACAAAAGCAATGAAATCTGAAAAAGGCCAGTAGATTCTTAAACCTGAAATAATGAAGGGATGACTGAAATTTGCTTCAAGAATTCCACATTTGATACTGTTGCCCAGCATTGCGGACTGATTATTTTCTCTTGTTTTCTTTAAAACTTGCTTTTGCATCCGTTTGAGACTGTTGAGCTAGTGTTATATAGCTGCCCTTTAGACAACTCTTATTTCTGTGGCAGTCTTACTTAATGGGATCTGAACCTTTTAGTATTGAGCTATCAGGAGGGCCATTTGGACAACAGATATTTCACATTTCTTTGATGGAAATGACTGTCGCCGTTTTTTTTCCTGCTGTTCTATGTTTTAACAAAAGTTAAAGCAAAGGTTCCTTTACGGTACCTTAGACTTGATACTTACTAGACATGACATTGTAGAAATGCAATTTTCTAATCTGTAGTTTATTTTAATCCAAAAATGCCAAGGAACCTCAGCATGTAGCTGTGCAGAGGATTGCAGTTATCTTAAATGAACTCTGTTTTTTAAACATATTAGCATTAGCGTAATGCAAGTGTGTTGCATTAGGTCTTGGGTTTTTTTACAATGTTCAGCTGTGTATAGAATGTAATTTAATGTACAGATAATTCTAGTGCGGCTATTATCGCATAGAATCATAGAATCATTATGGTTGGAAGAGACCTCAAAGATCATCAAGTCCAACCGTATACCCGATGCCACCATGCCCGCTAAACCGTGTCTTGAAGCGCCACATCTAAACGTTTTTTGAACACCTCCAGGGACGATGACTCCACCACCTCCCTGGGGAGCCCGTTCCAATGCCTAACAACTCTTACAGTGAAGAAGTTCTTCCTAATGTCCAACCTGAACCTCCCCTGGCACAACTTGAGACCGTTTCCTCTTGTCCTATCGCTAGTTACCAGGGAGAAGAGACCGACCCCCACCTGGCTACACCCTCCTTTCAGGTCGCCTTCTCTTCTCCAGACTAAACACCCCCAGCTCCCTCAGCCGCTCCTCGTAAGGCTTTTGCTCCAGGCCCTTCACCAGCCTTGTTGCCCTTCTCTGGACTCACTCCAGCAGCTCAATGTCCTTCTTGTAGTGGGGGGCCCAAAACTGAACACAGTATTCGAGGTGCAGCCCCTACAGTTGGTCTCGTCCCATCGATCCAGCCTGTCCAGATCCCTCTGTAGGGCCTTCAATGCTATACATAAACCAGATATTGCAGTTGCTTTCAGTACATTGTGGAAGGCAGCTAGCCTGTATCATAAGGAGCTTAAAATTTTGGTTGGTCCTTATCCAAAATAATCTATTTTAAATGCTGCTGTGCATCTCTGAGCAGTACATCCAAGCCTACTAAATCCCAGTAAGACTGAGAAAAACATACTTGCAGATTTCTCACACCTTGTGCTGTAGTCTACCTTAAATTCAGTGACAGCTGCTGTAAGGGAAAAAGAACAGCCGTAACTAAGCTAGCAGCTCATTGAAAACTGTGTTGAAACCCACATGTGGATGCTGAACATGCACATAAAAATATTTTGAGAAAGTAACTGTTTGTAGTAAATTTGGATGTGGATCATCTCAACTGTTTCAAAGCTGGGTGAGGGAAAGGAAATTTGAATTAGGTAGTAGTAAAACTGATGGATGTATTTGTGCCTTAACTTTTCAGAGCCTGTTGTGTATCTTACTCCATTCTAAATGGGTACATTAAGTGGGTCCTTTTTTAAAGTTGTCAATACTGAAACGTGTGGTGTTGTCACTAAAACTGCCATTTGCATTTGTGGAGTGTTAGATAAGATGGCAGTGAGGCAGAGCGGGGCTGCCGTGCGGCTGGAGGCTGGTGGGATGAGAGGCTGGGCTCATGTCCCGCCGTCACCCTTGCTGCGGTGCTCCCGGGAGCTGGTGTTGACGTCCCAGGCCCCCTCGCTCAGCCCGCTTTGCTGGAGCCTGGCATTGGCATGCACAGGCCCCATCACAGCTCATTTCGTGTAAATGTTTGAACAATTTCTTGTAGATAGCGAAATAGAAGAGGAATCTGAAGAAGATGAAGATTATATTCCCTCAGAAGACTGGAAAAAGGTAAATACTAAGGGCTCCTAAAAAGCCTGTATTTCACGAATAGTGAGTTGATCTGTTACCTAGTAACTCTGAGCTCTATAGATCACCCAAATCCTCTCCACTTTTTCCCCATAAATCTAAGACTTTGGATAGTAAGAAGTGTTAAAGACCACCCCAGATAGTCAAAAATCTGTTTCCATATAGTGCCTGTTAACTGTATTTTTAGATTTTGAACAATGGAAGTTTTAAGGGGTAAAAAAAGATGTAGTCATTCTCTTGTTTGCTAACAAAAACCATCACAGCTGTGGTTGCTTAACTTCATGTTTCTGTTATTTCAAAACAGGAAATCATGGTGGGCTCTATGTTTCAAGCTGAAATTCCAGCTGGCACATGCAAATACAAAGAGAATGAAAAAGGTGAGACTTAGCACTATTACCGTTATTGCTATGTTTGAGATTAGTTTCTAATGGGGAGAAATAAAAGATTTGATTGATGTCACGTGTCTTGCAAAATAAAAGAGCTCTTTCAAGTGAAAAATAGAACCATCATCTCAAACTATAGTTCATCCTGTACTTCACCATCAAAGCCTGAGTCTTGGAAGGGGAAAAGAAAGATTATATTGCTCACTTATTGCCTATTGAACCCTTGTACTCTGATTTGGTAAGGTACACAAGCTTTCTATGTAGCTTATGTTAACCTCTTCATCTAGAATATTTAGTTTTTGTGAAACAAAATAGCTGAATAAGAAACTGTGTTGTGAGACTAGATTAACACATTAAAAGAGGCAAAATGGTACCAGCAGCTTTGATTTTTACATTTTATAACTCTTCAATCAGTATTAAAGAACCTCTTGTTCTACTTTTGGGGTTTTTCCCCGGAACTTTTCCCCATCTCACAACCAGAGCCTTTGGCTGTATGCTGTCCATATAATCAAGTCAGGAAAGGTAGAATGAGTTTAAAATGAGCTGTGAGCTTAAAAGAAGCAAGTTTTCCTGCTCGTTCAGCCCACTATTAAGAATTTGTTTACACTGCAGATTAGTTTGCCTCTTTTGTAGTTTTATGTAAGTTAGTTTTTAAGCCAGCCAACACAAAACTCAGTGCCATCCTAGAATCCGAGTATATAGTCAAGTAATAGCAGTTGTCTTGTTTTGAGCTCCAGGTTGTAGTAGCTACGCTGTAGCCTGATCTAGCTAGAAACTGTCTAAAAAGAATCCTGCTATTGACTTAGAGCGGGTTCACACTGAAGCTGACACATTCTGTCAGCTCTGGACTTTGTAGCCAGAGAGGTTGATGAGAATGTGACTTAAAACTGCGTGAGAAGTCAGGAGCTTCCATTAAAAATACAAAATAGCAGATTAGAAAACATCTGCTTTTTAGCTGTGAAGAAATTGCTTGTTGCACTCTTTCTTGCTTCTGTCTGAAAATAGAGCTTGAACTATGTATTTGCCTGGGATGCAGTAAATTTTTACTGGTCACCTGCTTTTCCTGGTGTTTACTCAGCTCTAAATGGCTTCTGGCCTTCAATAATAAAAAAGATATAGCTGCTTTGTGCATTGCAGTAATCTATATAAACCAGTTTTTCATAGTCTTGCACACTGCTCTTTGTAGAACAGAGAACCTACGTCATGAGCAAAAATGATTGTGGGGAAAAGTTAAATTTTCACTAAACATGCTAGGGCTGTTCTAGTTTTATATACCAGCAGGGTTTTATATCTTCTGCCGCATTTTTCCTTTCTGCTGTGTTTTGGATGTAATCTTTGACAGGACTCCAACTGGAATATTAATGAAGCTTTAAAAGCTGAAAAATAAATGTCTGAGACTATGTATTTAGTACTTTCATGTGCCTATCCCCTCATCTTCGTTGTTCTCTAATGAAGGGGAAATTCTAATTGTAAAATTCCCAAACACTAAGAAGGCTAGTCCTTTCATGTCCAGTCCTGTAAGCAACAGCACAGAAATGCTAGAACTGGTAAGAATAACCACATAATGTGTTCTGACATGAGTTGTGAGGAAAGAACGACTGTGTAAGCTACACTGAGCTAATTACGGTGGACTGGCTCTCTGAGAAGTATATGCCTGGAGGCCAAATTAGCTACTACTAAACAATTTCAGGTTATGAAAAATCTACAAAATTACAAGATAAGTTTTCAGAAGGCTTGGACTTGAAAATCAAAGGATAGCTCTGAAAACTGAAAGGTGCTGAAGCTGCTTTGAGACTTACTGACTGCTGTCATTCATAAACATTGCCGTGTACTTAGCTTGCATCATTAAGGGTGGCTTAGAACTGATCAGTTGTCTCCTAAAAAGAATTGTTGCTTCGGCTGGAGTTGGTATCCCAAGATACTTAAAATCTTTTTCTTGAATGAGCAACCAAATATCAGATTAGGACTAGCCTTTGAAACAAAAAGCTCCCAGAAAGTTGTTGCGATCTGTTTCCAAAGAGTACGTTGTTCGTGAAATGAAGCTGTCTTTCTTTGCAAGACACTTAATAATTTTCCTTACCAGTTTTGGGTTTTAATTTGTAGTAACTTTCATGTTAAAAGTAATTATTTTCAAGTAGAGATGCATCTAGCCACCACTCTGACCTTTCCATCTGCACAGAATGCTGTTGTATCTTCCCTTCTCGAGGTGACCATCCTTTCCCAGGTGTTCGCTCCTTTCTCTTTTCAAAGGTGCTCACCGAGCTAATGGAATCAACCTTAAAGTTACTTTCTTGCTGGTTTTTGTAAGTTATCTTTCGTTGAAGACTGGACCACAGACAAGATATGGATACTTCCCTGATTCTATGTTTTTTTTAATAACCTGATTTTTACTTTATTTTTCTGTACTAGTATTTTAATCCTGCAAAGCTTATAGGCTCTTCAAAAACAAAAACGGGAGATGATTCAGGGGATATATCATTTGGCCACGATTCTCCCATTAATTTCAGTTTACTATTACTTCCCTGGTGTGAAAGCTCATGCAAAAGCTCTGAAAAAACAGTAGAGATTTCGTAGTATTAACATTCGGCAACCTTCACCTGAATAATTTTGTTTTAGAAAAGTATTAATTGGAAGTAGCAGGAAGGTCTTAGCAAAGTTTCCTTTTAGGAGCTGTTTGACTTCAGAATGTCTGACATCTGAGTGTCGTCTTCCCTGGAGAAGTAGTGGACCTTGCTGCTGCCTTTTCCCAGCCCTGTTAGCAGAGACTGACATATTTACTGGTCCAGATTGCTGGTAGTGTTTTTAACACCATTTTTGGTGATGTGCTTTTTGGTTTTATGTGACTGTTCCTAATCGTCTTGCAAGAAAACAGATATTATTAGTTTCTGAAATACTTTTCCATGCCTAATGGCTACCATCAGCAAAACTGTGCTGCTTAGGGCAAAGGCATGCTGGATGGATCGTTCAGGGAGTGTCAGGTAGTGCTGCTACCTTGTGATTTAAGTGGTTTCAGGAGGAGGACAGGGAAGATGGAGTTTTTGGAGTTTCATAAATGGGTCCTAGAACCTAGAGCACAGATTATGCCAGAGGTTTGAAGAGAAATCAAGGTAGGATATCCTAGTCACTTGGATCACGGCATTCATGACACTATCTTTTATCTGTCCCTATGTGTGTTCTGGATTAATGTTGGTGCTCTAATGATCCTCCAAGGTTTCATAATCACTAGCTTTATAAGAGAGAACCAACTTCTATATTGTTGTTTTAGCTTGATTGTCTTTTCCCTGTGGTTAATTCAGTGTATGAAAATGATGACCAGCTGCTGTGGAATCCTGACTTCTTACCAGAAGATAAAGTGATCGAGTTCCTAAACGAAGCATCAAGGCGTACAGGTGATGAGAAGGGCCTAGATGCAATTCCTGAAGGATCACATATTAAAGACAATGAGCAGGTATATGAGAATAATTAGGATTTGTCGTTTAATATTACAGAATGAATTATCCCTTTATTTTCTTTTACTCCTAAGAATTAAAATTGTGTTTGAAACAGCTTTATTATTCCTTGTGGAAATAGAAATGTATGGGGTTTTTTTTACCTCTCAATAAATGTTAAGCTGTTAACTTAGGCTTAACGTTGCTTTATGCATCAGTGCATTATTTTATATATATGTAATTGTGTATGAAAGAGTTCTGTTCTTTCAGTTACAGATTTTTTAAAGGAGTATGAATGCAAACTTTTTTTTTCCTTCATGAAAAAAACCCATCAATTTTACAAATGTACATAGTGGATGAAAATGGTAAAATACTTTGCTTGGAGATAGTGCTGGTTATGTAATTAGAGATTTGGAAATTTAAACACAGGAAATATGTCTTTGTGCTATCTTAAATTATTCATTCAAAAAATTCATTCAAAGAGTTATTTTTAAATTTTTTCTTAATAGGTATTAGCAATTTACTAAGCATGCTTCTGTGGCACAACATAAATTGAGTGGTGTCTAGAATGTTAAATGTGTTTCTTTTCACCTTTGCAGGCATTGTATGAACTGGTTAAGTGCAATTTTGATACTGAAGAATCATTACGAAGGCTGAGATTTAATGTAAAAGCAGCCAGAGGTGAGCATACGCTGAAAGTGAAGTTTATGTTGTGGAACTCTCATTTTATTTGTCACACAGGTATTGGATTTTGCTGTCAGCAGACTGAGAAATTTTATTAGAGCTTGACTGCATGTAAGCCGTACATATCAGTGCGCATTTAAATGCAGCCTTCAGTCAATCTCTTACCGTTCTCTGAGAGAATGAAATTAGCAGATGTAGTATAAACAGGTACATGCTCCCCCGCAGAGGGCATGTAAATTAACTTCCTGTCAGTAGAGCTAGATATTTATATCTGTGACTTTAATAACAAGTTAAAATTTAAAATTACTTCTTAGCAACTGAATAGTGCATTTCTTCGGCATTTTGTTCTTTGTTCTTCTAGATCTTTTCAGTCATCAAAGTTAATGGAACAAAAATGTAATAATTCACGTTTCTAAATAAAGGAGAATGAGCATCTAAACCTTTTATTTAACAGAGTATGACGCTAAAAAGACCCTGGTCTTAAAGGTTCTTTTGGAGCCTTAAGCATTTCCTGTTTTGGTATTGATCTTTGTACTCAAAGGAACAAGAAACTAAGAGAAGACACAAGTTACTTTCCTTGCACATTGATCTGTTGGTTCTGCTTTCAAACCTGAGGCTTCTCCAGAGTTTACTGTGCAAATCGCAAGAAAGAATGATCAAATAGAGAAAATTAGTTTGTTCTCCCACTATTTTAAACCTTCCTATTCGTGACCTTAAGAATCAATAAGGCCAAATTATATTAAGTTCTTAGAAGTGTGGCTGAAAGTTATTAGGGGTTTATTCTGGCTTCAGCAGAGTGAAGATTTCCCGCTCAGTAGTGTGAGCAGCAGAGTTTTTTATTCTGTCTGACCGGAATTAACAGCCTATCATTGCTGGCTCTTGTCAGCAGTAAAGAAGATCTCGTTCCTCATTCCTTTTCCCCTGCTTCTTCCAAAAACCAGCAACCAGTCTGAGACATGAACTTCCTTTGTGCTGTGTCCTGATTTGAAGGATACCTGCTTCCTATGGTTCTAGGGGCGAAATGGTTTCTGAGCCCTTCTTCCTCTTCCTGCTGCCTAGCTATTTTCCCCATGCGGCAGGGCTGGAGTTACGACCGTTTGTAACAGTCCCTACCAACTAGCTACTTAAGGCAGCCACATTTCCTACCTACTGACTACAAGGGAGAATTTTCATTTCTGTAAGTGAAATTTCTGGAGGTGGTTCTCAATTAGTCAGCAGATGGTGTAAGAAACTTGATTACCACGTATGTTTTCTGTCACTTAAGTTTTCTCTTATTGGCCGCATGCTTTTTTGTTAACTATTTTCTTTATTGCATTTTCTTGCTATAGAAGAATTATCTGTTTGGACAGAAGAAGAATGTAGGAACTTTGAACAAGGACTGAAAGTCTATGGCAAGGATTTTCATGTGATTCAGGCAAATAAGGTAAATGCTGATTTTAAGTCTAGTTCTCAAATATTTTTTCAAAGCAATAAAATTGTAAATAAATTCTTAACCTCAATTTCCTTCACAAAGTACTCTATTTAACTTCTAAATTTTACCACATATATGTCCAAATTGGTTTCTAAACGTCCAGAATCCTCTGTAACCGTGACTGTGAACCCAAAGTTCAGAAGAGTGCAAAAATCCTGCTGTGCATACATTGGGGAGGATCTGCGTCCGTAGAGTCTTACTCTGGTCTCAAATAGACTGGTGAAGCAGACTTGACCCCCTGAAGCTGTTGCTTGCAGCATCACACGATTAGAAACACTAATAAACTTTGTGTTTCAATTTCTGGGCCTCTGAAATTTTGAGTCAATAGTTTCCACTATTTCCTATGTTGTATAAAGAAGCATTGACTTTGAATTTCACACCTTTTGATTTAAATGGTAGCTTTTTGCCCAAAATGTATTTGAATTCATCAAAATTTGCATGGCACATATTTCCTAGGTACGAACAAGATCAGTTGGTGAGTGTGTAGCATTTTATTACATGTGGAAGAAATCAGAGCGTTATGATTTCTTTGCGCAGCAGACCCGATTTGGAAAGAAGAAATACAATCTTCATCCTGGTGTAACGTAAGATGTGCATTATTTTTATGTGCTTTTACATGTTGGATCTGAATCTTAATTTTATACTGCTGTAATCTGAAATGGTATGACAACTGAGGGATTCTGTAGTCCGATTTTAGCAGGAGAACAGCCAAGGTGTAAGAAAAGCTTACTAGTGCCTGTAATGTAATTTCTAAACTATATTTATTTAGAATAAGGACGACAATTTGCATTGAACAGCTATTTAATGTAGTTTATTTTCTGTTTAAATGTTTCGCAAATGTAACGTTTCTGCAAATAATGTAGGTTTTTTAAATGCTTGTTTTACTTTAAATACATGTTTTATACAAAGGCATTAGCCCAAGTTTCAGGTGGGATTTGTGGTACGTGCTGTAGTACGCTTTTGAAATGTATTGTTTGGCAAGAGTTCTGGCTGACACAGTACCCTGTGCTAGGGCTTTTTTGGGGGCACGTAGCTCTTTTCCCCGTTCACGTCTCTGCTGGGCAAAGGGGGAAATGCCTGTGCATAACTGTGCATTCTCCTCCCTCAAATCTGAGCAAGTGAGCCAACATATTTCTCTGCCCTTCATTCCAATGCTGTGATTTTACTATCCCACTGTTTCTGCCGACTTTTTCCAAGTCTTTTTACTATTATTTTTATTTCTCATTTGTTCCTGGCTTCTCTGTTGATCCTTCTTTTTAATATTGTTGTTTCTTTAAACAATGTGTGGTGGACCACTGAAGTGAACTTGCACTATGACATGAAGAGTTGCCATCTGTGGCTTTGTAAAGTAGACTGTTACAGAGAAGCACCCAGAGCTGCTGGATTTTCTTAACCAGTTGTCAGGGGCTGTCTGCCTCCCCCTCTTCTTCCATCTGGGTTGTTTTTTTTTTTCCATTTTTGCCCAAATTGGTAGACATTTTTGGTTGTCAATCACTTTAAAACATTCTCTGATTCTCTTGCAGTTGACTGCATGTAGTGATCAGAAGAAGTGTCATTAAGGATTGTACTTGTCTATTCTTGAATGATTTTGCAGATAGATGTGGGAATTTAGGGTGCAGTATCAGTTCCAGAATAATTATGTGTGAGGATATGCTGTTTCTGGAGTTAATCCAGACTAATACCATACGTACAAGGGCTTTACCGACCGGCTTTGTTTGTTTAAATCTTTCATAAGAGATTTACTATTAGTGACCTGAATTGTAGGACTGTAATAGATTTCAGATATGGGCATGTCTTTAACTCTGAAGTTTTTCATTTGCTTTTAACTTTACCCCTTTTGGGGTTGTACATGCACAAAACTTTAATGGCATGTTATTGCTGCCGCAGCGAATTGCAAGAGCTTAGTACGAACCTGCCTGAGAGCATCACCCTGAAAACAGTACACAACATCACAGCATATTGAAGTTTCTGCCTGTACATGATCTTACGGGGCTTGGCATAAGCACAGGCTAAATTTGTATCAGCTGGCTGCAGTGACTGCTCAACAAATATGTAGTTGCTCAGAACAAACCATATGTGGGCCAGTGAACACAGGAGATCTTAAAGTTGTTAACTTTGCAAGAAAGTCTGTGCATTTCAAAAGATATAAAATGTGAATTGGCCACACTTTTGCAGTATGTGCAGTGAATATTTTTGTACAAATAACACCAATATTTTACACAGCAAGGGCAATGCTGAATGTGCTGTTTCTGTTGTGCAGAGATTATATGGACCGTCTCCTGGATGAAAGTGAAAGTGCTGCTTCCAGCAGAGCTCCATCCCCTCCTCCTACAACTTCCAACAGCAGCACCAGCCAGTCCGAAAGGGAAGACAGCACAACCAGCAACAGTAATCAGAATGGTAAGTGCGTGCCCTGTCCCTCCTAAACAGAGTTGCCAAATCGTCACAAGTACCACGTGAAATGAGAAAAACATTTTAGTTTTAAATATTTTCCAAGATGTCAGCAGCTTTAAGTTAAAAATATTTTTTTAAAAAGCTACATGTTTGTATTTAGCCAGTGGTCACATATTGAAGGTAAATCTCCACTAGAATCTTCCTTTTAAATGTAATTAATATGTTCTTGTCTTCCCCATGCTGCTGTAGATGTGTAATGCTAACTTTGTGAGGAGTCCCATGCAAGATATTTAAAACAACTGAGATGGGAACTGGGCTATTGTGTAGCACACTAGTGCTTCTCTGGTGCTTGTCTCGGGAACACCGTTAGCTATTCTTACCAGACGTGGGGCACTGAAGGGCAGTCAGGAACGGGAGAAGAGCCAGGGCACGATCACTTGTGAAGGAAGAAAACCTCAAAAGCAAGGGACAGCCGTTTCGAAGGAGCTGAAGTGAAAGCGGTAGCAAGAGGAGGGAGGAGCTTGGGGGCTGAATCGGAGTGTGAAAATCGAGTGGAAGGTACAGAAACTGCCCAAGTGAGGACAGTCTGCCTACAGCTTGTACAGTTACGGGATTCCAGGACATTTTCTTGGCTGCTGTTGCTCGTGAGGGCTGCCATAAACTCTGTCATGATAAGTCTGTCATTTGTATGCAGATAAATGACTCATTCATCACACAGTGAGGATACAGAGAACAATACTGGCTTTTTAGCTCAGTGGGACTAGTAACAGAACCATCTGTGATAGGTCAGTAAAGCAGAAGTCTTGTTACTCCTTACCCCTCTGTTCTCTTTCTTACGGTATGTCTCTGTAACACAGGGGTGTCTGCTAATGGGCCAGGTGAGATACCAAATAAAGATGAAGCAAAAATTGAAGGATTGCATGTAAATGGACCTATCAGTGGGAAGAAAACACCTCACGCGGATCTGGATACAAATGGGTATGAAACTGAAAGCCTTTCCATTGACCCAAAACTTGCTCATTCAGCTTCAAGAAACGAAAATGATTTTGAAGAAAAAAATGAAAGACCTCTAAAAAGAAGAAGAATTAACAGCAATGGAAAAGAGAGTCCAGGTTCTTCAGAGTTCTTCCAAGAAGCAAACTCGCATGGAAAGCTTGAAGAACTAGAGACTTTGGATGACTGAATACTAGGAGCTGATTTTATTGCTTGGAGTAAATTTTGGGTGTCTAAAATTTTCAGGGTTGATGGGTTACCTTACAAAATCCAGTTCCGTAAAACGATCTGCTGAGATTTTTTTTTTTCTAATACCTTCTAGTTGTCTCTTAAGATTTGATTATTTGTTTTTTTCAGTGCTGAAAAGCAGTAGGAGAATATCCCATTTCTCAGAGCTGGCAACTCTAGTTCCGGGAACTCCAAGGCTCTTAAAAACATTTGAGAAACAGACCAGTCAGTTTCTGCAAAAATACTCCCAGCCTAATACATTAAAGAAACTTCTGTGTGTAATACACCATTTAAGCATTGTACAAGTGAACAAGGCATCCTATTTAAAGCAGGGGGCTGGTTCAAATGTTGCAGGACGTTAAAATGAAATACAGAACGTCAAGACACGCATTAGAGTAGGCACAGAGACTTCCACTCATGCTAACGAGGGGAAAGTGTCATCCCATTGTTAAGGAACCCTTATGAATCCTGAAAGTTATGAGCACAACTATTTTTATATATAGAAGTTTTAAAAGGTAAATAAATAAACCAGGTCAGGTTTGTATCTGTAAAATTGTTGACATCAATGATGTCTTTCCATATTCTTTATCTGGGCTAAAGAAATACATTCTGTATTTTTCCAGATTTCTTTGTAGCCTTTGAAAGATTTTTACAGTACTTATGTCTTGATTGAACTGTCCTTTCTTAAAACAAAAGCTTGTATAATTTTCTTAACTTGTACAGTTGGTAAACTTTTATGAGAGAATTGATATCCTGAGTCTAATGTCAGCTTCATTTTATTTTGCTGAAGTCTTTTCTAAAAAACAAAAACAAAAAAAACCCCAAACCAAACCAATTGACTGAAAAAATGCTTATTAGTCACCAACATGTTATGTTCTTCTCGGAAAATGGTAAACAATTAACATCAAGAATGGTTAGAAGTCATTTGATTTTGAAAACATGATTTTTCTGTTTTATGGCAAATAGCGATGCTAAGATTTGTTAAGCATGATGCTTGCGTTGCAGAGATTTTCTTGCTTTCATTATACATCCTCTCATTTTATTTTGAGCTCAGATAAATTTCACGTCAGCCAAATGCTTAAGTTTTTAGTAAACCTTGTTCACTAAGATCAGGTGTTAGATTATCTGTTGATTTATTTTCAGTCTATCTGTTATCATCTACATTTCACTGAACACAGGAAGGGTGGGAAGTGGGTCTAGTGATTCTGGCTGCACAGGTTACAAATGGCCATGCAGCTGGTAAACTGGTGCCTGATCTTGAATGTCTGAAAACTAGTGGACCTTCTAGGGACAGGTTATTTCAGTGGGAGCAGAAACATCACATACACATACTTGGTACAGCGTATACACTTATGTACATTCAGTATATAGAGATTCATGTGTAAGAAGTGGGATAGGGATGGATAACTATTTTAAGATTAAAGTGTGAGAAATGAAAACTCGCATAACTTGAAAATTGTTGAAGTAAGGGTTTACATCCATGAAATAGATTTTTAGTACCCGGGTGTTAATTTTTTTTTAAGCCACAGCTACACATCTACTATATTAAAAACAGGAAAAATTGTTCATTTGTATAATTTATAATCTTGTGTCCTCCTCCTGTGGCTTACAGATGTGCTGTTAATTTTTAATTGGTTATTTTTACTTAAAGTTTATGAGTCTTTATGATCCCAGTTTTAAATGTATGGTCCTATGGTTTGAAACTAACGTATCAACCTAAAAAAACAAAACACCCAACTGCTAAGGGTTTTGTTTTCTTCTTCAACTACATGTACTTTGATTTTCTGGTCATTAACGAGCCAAATCCTCTGGATCTGGCCTGGCCCCATGGCCACGATGAGTTACTGGAGTGTGTTCCCCTGCTGTTCCCAGACAGGTTGTGAAGGATCCCTTCTAACAACTGGTTCAGCTGGCCTGCGGAGGTTGCCACCTGCCTAGAATTAGACAGCAATTTATGTGGAGAGGCACATCAGTAAGGTTTGCTAACTTATGACCTGCATTAATCAATTATGTGATTGATTGCTTTAGTAAGAGGTTGCTGTTAACTTCACAGTCTGGTTTATTAAAGGAAACCCAAAGTATCACAGCCTTCTATCAAAGATGGTCTTGAGATGGTTTCAGACTGAGGGTAGTGCAGTGCTTCTAAAAGACCTTGCAACTAGACCCCCCCGATTTTCAATTTTATTTTTATGCATTTCTGTTTGCAAGTTGGAAAGACTTCCAAAAACTTACAGGAAAGTTTGTAAGTACGTACGTTGTCTCAGGCTTGTGTGTGAAACACAGCACTCTGTATATTTTTCAGGAATGTTGCTTTGTTTTTTTATCTTACCTTTTTTTTGGTGATATGTAGAAGAGACCTGACATTCCATAATCAACAAATACATACTGCTCAGCTAGACTTTAAGAATATTTAATTATAATTTACATTTTGTTTATGCTGGTGTTTTATACAATACTTTGTTCGTGTTCTTCAAAATGCAGCCACTATAACTTGATAAGTCATTGCACTACTAAAGCTATTTAAAACTCTAGAAATATAGTAACTTTGATTTCATTTAATAAGCTTTCAGTACAGTTTGGAGCCCAGAGGGTTTGAATGCGTTTCCAAACTGCGTTGAAGAGATGACAAGTTGCATGTGACACTTGGGTACGTTTTTTTCAAGCACTATCGTGATGGGTTCAGCTGGGGCGGCCATCCTAGATTCATGAAGTGCTTTAAGACTGCAGCCTGAATGGAGAATCCAGTTCCACAGAATAAATCTTTGTTGGGCTTTCTGAAGGATTAAACGTGATATTACAAAAACAACCACATACACACACAGAATTTACAAATTAGTTTTATACATTTTTCCACACATAGTAATTTTGCACTGTTAGTAATTCCCTGCTCCCTGTCTGCACTTCTGAAAAAGCTTATTAAAATATTTTTTTAAACATACTGTCTGCATAAAAAATTCCTGAGTTTTTGGCTGAAAACAGCAGGTGGAGTCTTTCTGCTTACAGAGGCTGTGAAGACCCTGTCCTGTTGTAGCAGCAGCAGCGACAACCACAGACACCAACCACCCTTTTCTGATGAGACTTTGAACGGTTGCTCTCTCCCTTTTTCGCAGGCATTACTTGGAGGGGCAGGGGGTCAGCCCGGGGAGAGGGGGTTGCTGTGTGCTTTAATGTAAAGGCAGCGTAATGTAAAGGAGGATGGAGCAGAGAGCAGGTTTGGTGGTGGCAGGAGGAGGCAGGGCGGCGGTGGGTGAGCTGTGGGTTACAGCGGAACTGTTAGGTTTTTATTTCCGAGGCAAACGCTGCTGTTACATGCAGGCGGGGCATGGTTCTTGTTCTGCGCTTACCTTGCACCCAGAGCACCAACAGAGCTTTTGGAAGGGCAGCAGTCAGCACCATTCCATCAAGGCCCAGATAACAGCTTGAGCCAGCTGGGGGGAAGGAGAGGGACTGATTCTAGGAAGGCACAAGGTGGTTTTGGTTGGTTTCTTTTCATTACGATCTTTTCCTCTTCCCTTCCTCAAAGGCTATTGAAAGCTGAAAACCCAAGAGACCTCCCTCACCCATACCAGAGGACACGCAGAAGCGACAAGGAACCCACTGCCACTGGGGTGCACCCCTGGTTTTTTCGGCCTCAGCCGCTTCATCATCTCCAGCTTTGTCTTGCTGCTACAGGGAAGTGAGGGCCAGCGCCTGGAGAAGGCAAGAGCAGGCGGGGTGGGAGGAAGGAAAGGCATTGGTTTTATTTGAAGCCAGTACAAAAATACATTGGCACATAATAAAATCCTTTTTGCTATCGTTACTGACTGACATATAAAGCCTGCCATACATTCAAATAAAAAGGTCACCCTTTTAATCACTAAAATGGTTATTTTGTAAATAGATTCTATATAGAAAAAATTTTAGTTGATAATAGCATAGAAAATACTGTTTTCCCAGTGTATAGAATACCATCCAGACCCTGGCACTGAAGTGTGCCTGGTTACAAACAAAATAAGCTTTAAAAATATTTTACCGTTTGGACAACAAATCTAACCAGTAGATTCAAAAATAAACAAAAAAAAAAATCAAAACTTTTGACAGAATCGACATCCTGACTGCAAACGCCTCAGCACAGCGAAGTTACAAGCAAACGTGGCCAAAAGTGATCTGCAGCGATTTCTGTTGAAGCAAGCGAGAGGAACGCGCAGGCCTGGCAGAAGGAGGGGGTTTGGGTTTGGTATGCTGGAGGGGGCTGTGGCAGGGACCCGGGGGGGCCTCGGCAGCAGGATGGGGGTCTGCTGGCCCCAGCATCATCTGGCTGCTGGGAACCAGTACAGGCGCCAGTGACCCCACCTGGAGCTGAGCCAGAGTAGCTCTGGCTCTTCTGCACAGCGGGAAGCATTTATCATCTTTCCTTACAAAAAGAAGAGCTCCGCAGCTGACTGCAAAGCTGAGGTTTTACTGAAATTGAGAAAGCAATTAAAAAAAAAAAAACCAAAACACACCCACAAAACAAAAACACAACAGGGAATTTTTTTTTTTCTTTCTCTGATTCTGCCCCACTGAAGGGCTGCTCCTCGCTCCAGGATGCACCGACTCAGCCCTCGGTGCTGCCAGGCAGCCTTGCCAATACAGCAACCACCCCAATCCCCCCCCCCAGCACCCGTTCAGCATCCCGCTGCCCCCAAAGAGGGAGCTGCCCTGGGAGGAAGGGGAGACCCCAGCTCCGGTACAGAGCCATCAGCCAGAACAACTCCAGGAACAGGATTTTTTGGAGCAGATGGCAGCGCAAGGGCCATCAGACTTTACCAGGGCATCAGGCTTTTGGAGCACTGTTGCAGAAATCCTCCATCACATGTAAAAACATCAATGTTGAGCATTCCACTAAATGCAGCTTTGCCAAACAGCAGTTACTTTTTTTTAGCAAATATTTTCCAGGAACAAATTACAGTGTCTATAGAAGCTATTGTCCTGGTTACCAAAGCAAGGTATACAAAAAATCCTCAGAAATACATAGTTTGACCAAAATTTTTAACCAAAACTATAAACAATTCTTTTTAAATCAAAAGACAATCCAAGGAGAGACCTAGAAAGAAGTGCTGTGTAAGACAACCTTTAAAAAATCAGTTAACACTGCCTGACATTAAAAAAGTCCCATTCTTTTAACGGGTCGGAAACCGAAGACGACTTACTACATCAAAAAAAAAAACAAACCACCCCACGAGCTGCAAGACAGGGCTCGGCCAAAGCTGAAGTGCTGGTGCTGCAGCGTGGGCACCCGCAACCTGTGCTCAGTGCTGCGGGGACGAGGGGCAGCACCTGCAGAGCCCCCCACCCCACCAGCCCTGCACATTTCCCACCGACTTGCCAAAACCAGGACGATGCGAGTCCCCAAGCCTCTTCCAGGCACGTGCACGGTGCCGATGGGTGGGAAGGGGAGCGCAAGGGCAGGAGCAGCAGCCTCCGCGCTGCAGCCCATTTTCTGGGCCGAGGGAGGAAGCTCTGCGTGCCCAGTGGGACATCAGCTCTTCTGCAAACCCTGCGGCTACTCCCCCTGGGAGCCCAAGTGCCCTGCGAGGGTCCCTGCCCCGGGGCCAGCCCTGGCACCGCCAGCAGCTTTCCCAAATCCAATGGTTTCTGACCCCGGGGTGGGCTGAGGGAGGCTGCCAGCCCTGCCGAGCTCAGTGGTACCAGGTAGAAAACCTTCGTGTTGGGAATGTCCCTGAGCTTCACTAAAAGCAACTTTGGGCAAGAAAGAGAGGGGTGAATATTTGCAGGGCTCTTTTAGAAACCAAGGAGGGTAAACCCAGCTTTAAAAGTGGGTTAACAGAAAGGAAAAAAAATAAAATTAAAAAAAAAACCAATACACAAAACGACAACTAACAAATGCAAGTTCAGAGAGCACTGAGCATTCAACAAAGAGGTTTTGGCCCAAACCAGGGGCATCCTGCAGAAGCGGCTTCTTTGCTGGGGGGTTACCAGCGCTCCCCTCGCACGGGCTGCGAGGCTGCAGCTCCCCTCCCTCCGCTCCCCTGCCCTCGGGGCCGGATCCGTGCGGGTACCCCGGTCCCACCTTCCTGCAGCAGCAGCAGCACCTGCTGCCCGGCCGGAGGGACCAGGCTCGGAGAGGAGCAGGGCGCAGAGCCAGCCCCAGCATCCATCCCCGCCTGCGCCCACCGCCCGGGTGGGAGCTGCACCGGGAGGAGCGGCAAGATAACTTGGTCCTCCGCGCTTCAAACGTGTACGCTGCTTGTGCCGATCTCTACTGCCAAATCTCAGCGTGATTAGAAACCCATTAATTCCTGACGATCAGACTTAATTAGATGTATACTTCACCATGCAGTCAGTTATCTTCCCGATAATTTGTAAAGGCAGCAATCTAGATTGTGCAAATTAAGAGCATCACCGTTACTCCATAGCAGACGCCCTGGATTCCTTCCCGCATTCTGCCCGTGATCAGCCAAACAGAAATAGGTCGCTTCCAAAAAAAGCCTCTCCCTGGTCACACAGAACTTTTTCCTTTAATATCCATCTTGATGCCCGCTTCGGACTGCTTGCTCATTTGCTCCTCCGTGAAAGTGATGTAGGAATACACCAGGCTTCCAGCAATACTGCAAAACAGGGTCGGGTACGAGAATGAGCCATCCCAGCTGGGAGCCACAGGAGCTCGGGGCTGGCTCCCTCCTGCCTCGCACAACGCACAGCGGCCGCCAGCAGCCCCGAGGAGACGCTGCCCTTCACACCAGCACATCTATGACTTAGAGACCCCCCCCGGCGCAGCCACAAACACCGGTTGCCAAAGAGAAGTCAAAACCACAGGTACGCCAATAGTCAAGGATCAGCTGCAAGCATCAATTTGCAAGAAAATTCTCCATTTTCCTCCCAAGACCAGGTCTT